CATAATGGTTTTTCGATTCCATGACAGTTTCTCGCACAAGGATATCCAATTATCATAGGAAGTTTAGAATAAACAGTTGTTCCATGATATAAACGGTTGAGATTTGAAATGTCGTCATTTCTGAATAACTCATAGCCTTCAATTGCATACATTTCACCAAGATCTTCTGCACTAAATCGCGTTTCACAAAAAATTAGGATATCAGCAGACGTATAATTAATATCTTTTCGTACATCTTCAATGTGTTTGTGCAAAGATCTTGCATTAAGATAACAAATTTTTAAATCAGTGGGATTCAACATGTCTCCACTTCCACTGAGAAATGGGTAAAATGGTTTGTCTGATGTTTTTATCAAATGCAGAGCATAATAGAAGAATTCTTCTTGCTTCGATATTTGTTATTGTGAAAGCTCGATATTCGTTATCGTGCATTTCATTTAAAATTAACGGATCATTGTTTGGTAAAGAAGATGGTATGCCCAAATTCTCTGCCAGATGATCAAATGTTTCGTTTAAATCTGGATGTGTATCCCATGCTTCCTTGATCCTGATCTTGTTGTTCAACATCTTGTGTGACAAGTGCTATGGTATCAAAGGCATCATCATCACATTTGTCTAAATGATGTCCAATTTCATTCAAGTCTTCACTACAAACAGCATATTGTTCCATTTGCTTACTGATTTCTTTATATCGAGCTAAATAGTGCTCTTCATAACAAGAATAATTTCGATATCAAATCGATAATGTTTTTCTGGTTGAGCCTACTCTAGCTCGAGATCTTTTCTTTATTTTCATACTTTCAGGAACTTTTACAACCTGAAGTTTATTGTCATTTACCAACTCATCATTATCTTCATCATCATTTTCCAATGGAAGATTATCAATTTCAGGCTTGTTTGTTTTCCTATATGTTTTCTGACCACAAGAGTCGTACCATGCTGCCCAGTCGGCCAGTGTCACATTTTGCAAACAATCAGGTCGTTCCACATATGTTTTTAAAAGACCACCAGACTGAATTTCTTCTAATTCATCAGACATTTTCTCTATTTCACTCAATGGTTTAAGTAATTCGACTCTTTCAGAAGAAGGAGATGTGTTAATGAAAATTACACTATGAGACGATTTTCGCATTGAAAATTGCAAAACAATATACACGGCTTCTTGTGCACTTATTTCAACAGAATTCAAAAATTTGTTCCCGATATCATTCCTTTTTGACCTTTGGAAATTTATGATACAATATACATTGCACAGGCATATACATCTAAGACATATTGAATGTCCATATTTGCTCGCCATGCCCGAAGGCAAACAGGATTGTAATTATTAATTCTTAACTGATTTGGACTTCTTTTTAAAAAGATTGTCAGAGTGTTCAAAGATGAATGTAAGGCAAGAATATATTGCTGTTCTGAAACACCTAACTCTTGTAGTAATTCATTAAAAGTAATGTCTTTACCTTCCTTAAAATCATTTAGTTTCGTTTTAATCTCTTTCCACAATTCTTTACTGGCTTTAGCAACAGTTGAAGAGATATCTTCATCAAGAGGATGAAGAATCTGAGTACATCTCATTGGTGGTTGTGGATAGTTGAATCTACAAATATTTTTAGACTTTTTCCTGCAAGTATGAGAATGCCGGTGTGCCTGTCTATTAACAAGATCAAGTAATTCTGTATCATCTTCTTGTTTACTACAGGTAATTACATTATCAATATAAGTAACAACATCTTCATCTTTATCAACACCAAACACAGGTGCATTTTCAAGCCATATCAACATATGAATATGAGGTGATCCTCGCTGTTGGTATTCAACTCTATAAAACCAATCTTTAATTTTTCCTACTGGAGCAAGTTCACTCATTAAGACATCTTTTAGGAAGGTATTGAACTGAAAATCAAAATGTCTTGCACAGGTTACTGGGTCACTTTGAATTAGTCGACACCTTTCCTCCCAATTGAGATTGTTCAACTCTTCATCACTATAATCCTTGTGATCAATAAGTTTACCAAGAATTCTTAATATATGATTCCATTTTGTTTCTGCTGATGAGAAACTGCAAAATGAAGATGCTGGTCCTAATTGACAAATCATGGCAAACAAGTCCTTTTTAGCTAGCTCAAAATAAGGTGGTGAACCCCTAAGAGTTTTCAAGAATCTGAAAACATCATCATGGTTTATTAAACTTTGTAAACCTTCTGTAGTTTTTAGGTCTCCAGCAGTAAGTGTTCTGTTACCTATTTTGTTTTTTCGGAGTGCAATCTGTGACTGACCAATCAAGAATTTCATTTGTAACTTCTTAGCTTTGAAGAATATATTTTCAACGCACATGGCAGCTCGTCGATCAGATCTTCTGAACTCAGATTTACATATGTCACTATAGTAAACACTTCTTAACCTTTGTTTGTCCTCAGGTCATTTTTGTCCGAGAAATATGCCTGGATATGACATTTCTTCAGAGTACTGATCTCTAAATATACTCAACGGCCTGTTACTTCACCAAAAGAAACATTATAGATTTCCTGTCTTTCACTATCACTGACAAAGTCTGGAGGAGTCAACATACTATCAGGTACTCCAGCTGGTATTTCTGCTTCAGCCTCACTCCATTCATCTTCAGGGAGGTTTGATGTTAAATCATCTGCACCATTTGATGTCTCAATATCACTGGTCACATCTAATGACTCTTCCAGGTTTCTCAACCAATTCTGGTTTATAATAATTCCTTGATCTTGATACAAAGCACTTGTGTTAATTAACCATGCAGTTCCTTGCATTACTTTGTGAGGTCTTATATTCATTGAAAGTGCAGAACTTTTGTATTTCAATCTTTGCTTTAGTTTAACTTTAATGGTACCTGTCTCATCTAATAATCTAGGAAGAACATTTACTGTACTGTTAATGTCTGCAGTAACATTGACAACATTACCACTGATCTTCAGTTGGCTTCCTCTCGGGGCCTGAAAAATCTTTTGAAATGCCAACCAAGGAGCAATAAGTCGACATTCAAGTTCATTTAGATAAAAGAAAGACGGTTTTTGTGGAAGTTGCATGTGATTAGCAGTTGCACAAGGGGGAACTTTCCCTTTCTTTAAGTGTTTGTGACAGGTTTGACAAATCCACTCAATATTATCAAAACTTTTTGCATTTTGAAGGTACTTGATTATGCCAGGATTGCCCTTTTTTAGTTGGTCTGCAGGAGAGACAGTATAATTAATACCATAATTGGTCACAGCAAGTGCAAATATACACACGTCCTGTAGGTACAGAGTTTTGAAACTTTCTAATAAGTGCTAATATATCAATATTTTCAGTGCAATTCACAGTATCTGAAATTTCTTTTTTGGCTGAATGTGTACTGTTATCTGTTTTTCTACCCTGCTTTTGAGACAAAACCTTTTTTCTAGAAGCCCTCTTTCTTTCACAATCTTTTGTAAGTCTGGCTTCCCTTTGCTCAGTAGTCTCAGTTTGTTTTGTGGTTCCCCTGGAATCATTTTGTTCATTCAATTTTGCACGTCTAGAAGCTCTTTTTCTTTTACGATCTTTTGTAAGCCTGGCTGTCCTTTGCTCATTAGACTAATTTTGTCTTCTTGCTTTTTTTTTAATATATCTCTCATTGTGAGTAGCTTTTGCCAGGTCTCTTGTGGTTTTTCTGGCATTATTATATTCCATCATTTTTTTAAGTCTAACTTCCCTTTTGTCTGTTGGCTCATTTTGTCTTCTTGTCCTTTTTGAATTTATATACTTTCTGATTTTTTCAGCTCTAACTTCAATTTGTTCTGTTGAATAATTTGATTCTGCCCTTATTTCCAATGACTGTCCTAGTACTTGGTTGTTAAATAGCTCAGTGCCATATCTGGATTCGTAGTAACACTAGTAGAGAATTCTGTCTCTATATCACTGTTATCAATACACTTTACACCCTTTAACTCAAATGGTATTACAACATTAGCTTCATAGGGCATTGATGATAATTGAAAATATTCTGCAAGATTTGTTATTCCTTCCACTGATGTTAAAATACAGTATCCCAATGCAGATAGTCTACCACATAGGTCACGTGAATGTGAATCAAACACTTCAAACACATTGGGAAAAGGCATCATGATTGCTAATAATAAATAACTCTTATTATACTTTGGCTGATAACACCATACAAACTGTTCCCATTTATTAAAATTGTGTTTAGAATTGATCGATCCCAAATATTGACTGACTTAATTTCTTTGTACAAGACTGCATATAACGACATGGCTACACACTGTTTACCAGCATTCACACCAAACATTAGGTCATTACCTTGATTAAAATGAGCATGTACTGTACAGACTGGGTCAACTATATCATTTATAGTCCTAGGACCTGGATTTTCCTCCACATCATTCGACAGTCTCAGTAATAATTGTACATAAACATTATAGTATATCACTTGAACATACCGTAAGCATAATTCACTGGTTTTTTGGCTCTTATTCAATTAGCTTTTGAGATAAGGCAAGCAGAATACATTAAAGTAAAACATTAATAGTAATTGATTCCAAAGTATACCTTTAAGATGACACAGACTGCTGCGACAATCTGTAAAATTGTGATGTTAACCTCTCCTGGCCCAATAAACTTCAATAGTCCCACCCATATTTATGGTCTAGAACTCAGAAACCAAATGTCAATAATTCTTGACTTTATAAAGTGTTTTATTTGTCAGTAATTTGCTGCAAGTCGGCAGGTAATATTTGGGTATGTTATAAGGTCGTCAGTATATTTGTCAAAAAGTTTTGTAACTGCAAGTTGGCAGCAATGTTAAATAGTTTGTTTGAGTATACCAGGGGTGCTTACCATTTAGACCAATCTTTCTGGTTGATAAATTGTTTGCAAATGGTGCGTGATTTTCCGATCGGAAGAACCAGATGGAATGGAAGATGAACCTTCTAGCAAGAACCACCGCTTTTTGAGCTGTCAAAAGCAAAATTCAGCGGTGAATATCATTGTGAACAATCATGGCCGATCATTTATTGTTTATACTTGCCATCGCTTTAGCCGACGAAGAAGAGCTAGAAGACGACAACGACGACATTGAATTGTTTGGAATGGTCTCTACTTTCATGAGGAGGAATCTTAACCGGAGTCGATACTTCTTTGAAGTTACCGTACCAATGTATTTTGCCGATGAATTTCAAGGTCATTTTAGGCTTTCACGCACTACAGCTGAAAGACTCGCCAGAGAAGTTGTCGCTACTGGTCAAGTTAGAAATGGGAATAACTTTGGGAGAATTGCAATTCCTGCAGAAAAGCAGGTTTTAGTTTACCTGTGGATGATGGCCAACGGAAGAGAAACAACGCGACAGGTAGCCGACCGATTTGACATAACATTGAGCAGTTGTGGCATAGTACTTCGTCGCGTAACGTCAGCGTTACTGTCCTTACGACAACAGTACATAAAATGGCCAAACGGTAATACTTCTAACTAATTACAATATTATAAATATTGTGTTATTAACTTATGAATATTGTGTTATTGTGGTATGGGAATTATTCAAGTAAAACATTATTATCGTATCTTTTTCATTATTAATATTAACTGCTAATTTATTATTCATTCAGTGACTGAGATGAGAGATATAGCTGAACATTTTGAGGAAGGAGGCATGCCTGGAGTAATAGGTTAGTGGTTAGGACTTATCACACAGCTCCAGTACAAATAGTTGAATATGTAAGCATTTAATTAAACAACCACTGAATCATTCTGAATATGAGATCAAGAACATGTTTTCATTAGCCAGGATTTCCTACAAAGGTATTGGCTCATTTGAAGTCTTTACCGAAACCTTGAGTGGGAAAAAATCATATTGGTGGTGGAGAGTTTCCAAATTTTTTGATAAGTAAATGTATTTCAAATAAACAAGATTGTCTATATAAACAACTATTATCATTCTTGTTCTATGCCCATCATCTATCAACCAATACACTCCAGCCATATACCCCACAGTATTTTCTGTGACTGTAAACTTGACATAATAGATAATATGCAAATTTCTTGCATAACGGTGTTAATAAATTTTTCTCGTTAATATGGTTATTCCGTTAATACAGCCAGATTTTTTTCTACCCATTGGTGACTGTACTTGGGTTCTATTGTAGTAATTTTCTACTAAACACTGTTCTCTCTGATATTATTATTTATGATATGCAGGTGTGATTGATGGTACATTTATTAGAATAAGGGCACCAAGTATGAATCCAGAGGCATATAACTGCAGAAAAAAGTTCCATGCTCTCCAGTTGCAGGTACATAGTACTGTACAAGCTAAGCCTTGTAAATAGAAAAATACAATTGCATTGCATCAATAAGTTGATGTAACTTATTATGCAATGCTGATGAATTTGACATGTGTTACTGTTTTAGCCCATTTTTGCTAATATTATTAATAATTAGGAATGGATTACTGGTATCCTATTCTCAAAATACTGAAATTTTTACAAGGAAATAAACTAACAGGTGTTTATTTCTCATCAGATGGTGTGTGACAACAACATGGTATTGACAGATGTTTTAGCAGGCTGGCCAGGATCAGTTCATGACTCCAGAGTTTTAAGAAATTCTTCTCTATGTGCAACAGCAGCTGACAAATTCCCTCATGATTATCACCTGCTAGGTGATGGAGGCTATCCACTTAAAAGGTATATGATTTTATTTTGCACCCAACTTAATGACTTTAGTTCAAAAATGCTGCCCCCTGATTAGTCAGTCATAAAAATTACTATCTTAATTTGCAGATGGCTTATGGTTCCCTTCCGCAATAATGGACATCTGCCACTAAATCAAGTCAACTTCAACAGGGTTTTGTCATCAAACAGACAGATAGTAGAACGTGCAGTCAGTCTGTTAAAGGGGAGGTGGAGAAAGCTAAAATATCTTGATCATCTTGCTGTCAAGCTTATGGTTGAAATCATAATGGGGGCCTGTGTGCTTCATAATTTGTGTCTTGTGAATGATGATTTTGACAACATTTACTTTCTGGATGACGAAACTGATGATATTGACAATGATGATGATAACAATGCTGTTGGTCTTGAAGATGGAGACAGGCCAGCTGAACAAAAACGTCAGCATTTAGTAAACATTGTTGCTCGATGACTTTAAATATTCATTTCATCAGAAAGGAGTGAATAATATTAGATATCTAAGAATATCAACTCCTGTGTAAAAAAATATAATTTAATGAATGCAATTTTAATGGTTGTATATAAATTCAAGCAGTTTTAAGAAGTCTTTGATTAAAGTTGACTTACAAATAATTGTAAAGTTAATTTCAGCAACAAAAATTTTGAAATAATTTAATGAGAACTCATTTAACAGTTTAACAATACAGTAATTTTAAAATGTAACAAGAGCGCAGTACCCTAAAAACTTCAACAATTGTAATTAACAAATAAATTATACTCTTTAAATGTGCATTGTAATAAAACAAACATTTTCTATTTTTCTTTTGATTTCATCACTTCAAGCAAACTACTCCAAAATTCCTTTTTCTCTTCATTCATATCCTGGAGCAATTTTAGCTTTTTGGTTTCTACTTCTTCCTTTTTCTCCTGATACTCCTTGAGGAACCTTAACATCTCTGCTGCTGATGACTTATTCTTTCTCTTTTTTCCCCGGCCTCCTCTTATTTTGTGGTGTTACTACATTTTCATCGTCAGAGTCATCACTTTCTTCTTCACCTTGGATATCTTTTGAAGATGAGGAAGATTCAAGGGTGAAGGTTGGATTAACACTGGGATTTTCCCCAATACATTCTTCAATGGCATCTTGATATTTCCACTTCTTTTTGTCATTTCCGCTCTTGTTATTGTGGTCGACAACTTCTTTGTGTTTAGCGGTTAGTTTTGTCCATTTTCAAAGGCATTGGTTCCCTGTCACTGTTATGTCCGATAGGGCATTGAATTCATTTGCAATCTTTTGGAAGATTTCTTTTTTTGTTGTTTTGCCATTACCAAACGAGGCCTTGTTTGTCTTCCAGCAACATATTGACAACCGAACATAACGCTCTTCCCATCTGTCAAGACTTTTCGAAGCATCTTGAAGAGTAATAGAAGACAGAAATAGTGTTTTTACTGTAATGGCTTAGGTTAGATATGCCTTGGCTAGCTACTTAATCTGCCATAAAATGTAAAACAAAGAAAACTTAAGCTCCAGTAAGCTAACCCATTAAATTTGAATAATTTCATAAAGGTTTAAAAATACTTTTAAGAATCGTCAGACTACTTTTTTCTAGCTTGCTTGCAGACAAGCAAATTAATACAAAACTGCTACGCTTTGAAAATAGAGAACGTCACTCCTAGAAATGCAACTATCGTTTGTAAAAACAAAATAAGTTATAGTTTAAACTGTAGTTAAATATTTATTGTTAAAATATAGTTATAGTTGTTCTTGCTATAGTTTAAAGGTGCTAAGAGATGCCAAAATAAATCTAAATAAAACTAAAGTCTTCAAAACTTACCTTCAGGAATGTTTTCGCTCGCCATCTTGAATAAACAAAGAGCGGGAATTTTAATTCCGGCAAGATGGTACACAAACCAACCGGAAAAACTGGGAAAAACGGGAAAAGTGGATTAACTCCTTCGGACGACCAAGTTTTCCGAAAATTTCCGATTGGAATTACTCATGCCATTTGTTTTTCCGACCGGAATTTCCGGTTTTTAAGGGTAAATGGTAAGCACCCCAGCACAACAGCTGTCGTTTTGTATACCCACACAATGGCTGGGTTTAATTTCAATACCTGCACAATGGCTAGGTTCAATTTCAATACCTGCACAATGGCTAGGTTTAGTTTTGCTAGGTGGCCCTTCAGCTAAATGAGCACCTGATTTATGACGATCAGTGCGAGCAACAATGGCTCCTGTTTTAGTTTTTTTATACAGTGCAGGCAAGTTTGCCTCGTTTGGAATGTACGCTCTTATACTGTGATTCTGATCGCAATTCGACCACAGTGGACAAATGAGCGATGAAAATATGTAATTTCACAAAGATAAGAGCTACGTGAATGATAGAATAGCACTTACTTTGACTTTAGATCATCCCCAAAAAACCAATATTTACAAAAAGACTGAATACCCTTGGAAGTTGGAGGCATATGGTTGAAAGCAGTTCGCTAAAATAATATACTAAAGTTTCCGACAAAACACGTGATCCGACGATCACCGATAGTGCCGAAGATGCTGATATTAATCACTGAGCTATATAATAATTCCAAATTAAGGTATAATTTGGAATTATAATATAGCTCAGTGATATTAATCCTATATTTCGAAATCGGAAAGGCCAAGGTCATGGCCTTGTTTTTGTCTGGACATCTCACATGCGTTGCGCGTCATTCGCGATTGTGAGTTGAAACCTTCGATTTGTCTAGGTGAGTGTGTGACACTGTGTGGTGTTCTTATATTATTAATTTTTAGTGCGCTTTATATTTAAATTGTTGAAGGCCAAATGGCCAAGACACACCGGACATGTGACAGATTAAACAGAACCGTTTACATTGGCAGCATCGCGTTTTTTTTTCATTTTCATTGTCTGAAAACTGTTATTCTTTTTCAAAAAGCGTTATAAATAACACTTTTTATAGTTTCATTGTCAAATCGCTTCGGTGTGTTTCAGCTTTAATTAATATTTAATTGACCATTGACAAAGCTGACAAATGACAAACCGCCTTGGGCTTGGAGGCGTTAGCATTCTTCAAAATAATAGCTTTATAAAGTGTTTTTACTGTAATTTTACGAGTATACAAAAATACATAGACGGAAAGACCGATTATTTTGAGAGCAACTAGCAAGCGAGCTCATGATTTGTCAACCATGCCTGACCACGCTGACTATATTCACACATCTTAAAAACGGACTTCGCCAAGCTATGTTTATGGCACTTCTTCTTTACCTTTCATATTTTTAGCATTAAATATAGGCCTATAGGTTTTACTAGAGGAAATGAGTCAAAGTGGTCATGTAGTGCGCAATGCTATGGGTATATTTTCTGACTCTTACCTAGAGTCATGACTGAAAACAGCAAAGTGGCAGGTAATTTTCACATAATATTAGAAATACCTTGATAAATATAAAATATTTGGCTTTGCCTGTTTGCCAACTCAATTTAGAAATTGGATCCCCATCCCACTTTTCCAATTACAATTATCATTTATCCAGATTAAAATTCTTCCAAAAAAAACTTTGGAACAAAGTTTAAATATTTGGTCATGTCAACCACAATTTTGCTTTGGATTAATGACAGCCTATATTGTCAAGGCATATTGAGACATAAATCAATTTACCAACATTGAAAACTTGTGTATTTTTATTTTTCCAACTTAGTATATGGTTTCCTTTTCACTCTATTCTGATATTTAATATTTTTTATTATATTCTTATCTTATATTCTTTTTAAATTCTAAGAATGTTCACCGGTTTCTCCAAAAACAAATGCCAAGGAGATTGATTGCTATGTGCACTCAGTTTCTTTAATCAAGACTGGTCGTGACAAAAAGTGGCTGTACTTTGACTGCAATCTCCAGACTAAAGATAGCATTGTAAGAGCTGTATGTTTTTCACCTGAACGTAAAGACAAATTTGACCACTACGAGAAAACCAAGGCACCTCTCAAAATCACAAGATATAATGAGAAGACCAAGTATGGTACAACAAATGTCATTATAGAAAGGCACACCATTGTTGAAACCTCCTCTATACTTCCTTTTGAACGATGTGATGTAAGTCAAGATACCACAATCAGCTCTCTCCGCAATGTTTCATCTGGTCGGCAAGTCACTGTTAAAGGCATTTAACAGACTTATTTGGCTCCAAGAAGATCCTGTCCAGGTCGGGTCAAGAACTCATCAAACAAGATGGACTTGTGTCAGATGCCACCGTCACAATTAAAGTAACATTTTGGAGTACATTTGTTGATGAAGCACAGAAAGGAAAGACTTACAACTTCAAACAATTTATATATAAAAATGACAACTTTGGAGTTTATATTACAACATCACCGAATCTTTCCACACTTAAGGAAACAGAGGAAATTGAAGAACCACTTGCCAAACCTGATATCAGTAAGGAAACCTTAACAAACAAACAATTGACTGTCAATCTACTGGGAATTTCTTCAGCCAGTCAGTACTCCAGCTGCTCCTCTTGTAAAAGAAAAGTTGAAAGCAAAGACAACCCTACCATTGCATTCTGTTCACAATGCAACCTTACTCTGAAAGCAAGTCATTGTTCAAAACAGTGGATAGTAAAACTGTTTGTTCAAAGCAAGGAAAATCCCAACCATAAATTCAATTTGACAGCCTTCAACAGCATTGTGCATCAGCTCATAGCTAGATGTTCCACCAATGACTTGCTAGATAAAATGACACCAGAAAAGCTTATCAATCAATTGATAGCAGACATTGTTGAACTGGACATTGTTTATGATACTATCCAGAAGAAAATCATTGAACTGTCCTAAGTTATGTTTATAGGAACTGCACAGTAACATAAAATAAACTAAAATGAAAAAAAAAAGTATAAAGTTCTGTTAAATTAAGCTTCCTAGTGACAATTGACACTTCTTGTTTGACAAAATGGTATATATTATATATCATTTAATTAAAGAATTTCATATGACTTTGAACTTATATATATATATATGTTAGGTTTTGATTTGAATATATTATCAGTAGTTTTCATACACATATGTTTCTACAATATACACATTAAATGTATATGTGATGTTGCTACTCTGAGTCACCAACCGGGCAAGATGATCAACAGATATTTCAAGTTGCTAAGTAAGTGAATTTAATTTACACACATTCAATTTTGAGTTGTCAAAATCTTACCTTGTAGCTCAGTTGGAAGAGCATTGGACTAGCAAACCAAAGGTCATGGGTTCGATTCCCACCGTGGTCAAGCTAATTTTTCACCTTGCCCGGTTGGTGCCTCAGAGTAGCAACATCACATATACATTTAATATACACACCTGAGTCTTTGCATTATTACTAATATACACATTGTCTGTGAGTTTAAACTAACTTGAGTAAAATTTTTATATTAATTATATGTCTAAACATGGAATTTTGGGAATGGGACTAGTTGCAATGACAATAT